CAATCTGATCTCACATATACTTGTTAAGAACATTTATATATCAGTCAGTCAGTCAGCTACAACGTAGTACAAGGCACATATATGCATCGGTCCAAGTTGCCATACCTCATTAGCACAACAAGATGGACAACGGATTCATGAAAGTAGTTAATTCAGAGGTGGTTATATATAAAGGAAAGATTGCATATAAGTATATAGTACAGGAAGAAAGAATTAGTTCGTAGAAAGAAAGATATGAAGCAATTTCAATTTCATAGTTTAATGGAAGACAAAGTGTATACACTTACGCCATTGTGATCCATTCTGAGCTGTGTCACACACAGAGTCTCCAACCATTGGTTACGATAGTCACGCGGACTATAACCAAGTATTCTGCATCTACCAACATGGCTCAGACTAAAAGTTAGTGACTTCAATCACTGATGCCACGTTTTGATTTGGTGGCCCCTAACTTTCTTCCAACCATCTCCAACACCGGTTAGCATTGCACGTAACACATGGCCCAACCATCTCAGTCGATGAAGATTTACAACCTTATCTCGCCTTCGCCATAGGTGACGCAAGTTGGCAAAAGCCAAGCGAGCTTTTCGAATCCGTGCTGAGATTTCGTCAGACATCAACCCATTATGGCTGATCAGACTTCCAAGATAAGTGAAGTTGTCAACGCGTTCGACTACTTCACTCCCTATCCTTAGTTCAAGTGTTGGCGCAGACCAGTCCTGAAGCAGCAGCTTGCATTTAGAGGGAGAGAAGCGCATTCCGAACATTCTGGCATTGTTGCTCAGTGCTACCAGAAGACTGCATTTTATCAGCGTCTTCACCAAACAGGACTATATCATCTGCGTATTCTAAGTCGATAAGTGGACCTCCTGGAAGGAGATCATTTCCCGAAAATTCAGTCGACGAGAAAGTTATTTCCATCAATAGGTCTATGATGAAGTTAAACAAAAATGGACAGACTTGATGGGCATCACTTGAGGTTGCAAAAGTAGATGACAGTTCGCCATAAGCCCTGACTCGACTAGTAGTGTTCGAGTGAAGAGCCTTCATAAGGTCTATGTATCTCTGAGGTACACCTTTCAATGACAGACACTGTCACAAAATCTCGCGGTCTACCGAGTCAAATGCTGCTTTTAAGTCAAGAAAGACCACCATTGTCGGACGCCGATAAGTATGCCTATGTTCCAGAACCTGACGAATGATGAATATGTGGTCGATGCAGCCACGACCAGGTCTGAAGCTAGCTTGATTCTCGTATTTGCAGTTCACGAGTCTTAGTTAGGCATCCGATAATTATCGAGGCTAGTATTTTAGATACTATATTAGTTAAACTAATCCCTCTATGGTTGTCACAGGATGATTTTGACCCTTTCTTATATATTGGGACGATAAGTGATTGCGACCAGTCAGATGGAATAACGTCTAACTCCCAGATCTTAGCTAAAATATTAGTCAACCTAATTGCTAAAATTGGACCACCTTCCTTAAAGACCTCCGGAGCCAATCCATCTGGACCAGCTGCCCTTCCTCGTTTCAGATTAGCTATAGCCTTATGAACTTCAGCCAGAATCGGGGGACCCACTTCAATGTTCCGTCCACACTGTCTGGGAATGGTGGGTAGTTGTAGAGTCGCTGAAAGCCAGTTGAACTGTTCTCTGAAATGTTCCGCCCATCGTTCTAAACGTCTGGATTGAGAGCAGATGAGTCTCATCTTCGAAATAGTCTCACTTACACTTGACTTATTAATTTCAGTTTCTTTTATTAGTCTGTAAAGCTGTCTTGTGTTCCCTATAGTAGCCGCCTTTTCCATTTCTTTTGCTTTCGTTGCCCATCACTGCTCACGGTCGTTCCTTAGACTTTTGCTTAACCTAGATCTGATTTGTTGTCGCTCTTCATCGTGTTCAGAGCCTGATGGGATGAGTTTACGAGAATCCATCAATGCAATAGACCTTGAGGAAATGCATTGGTTCTTTGTAACCCTGTGGTTTAAGTCACTAATAGATTTCATTGCTGTTTCCACAGCTGTGTGTATATCTTTCCAAGCAACATCTGGGTCAGCCTCGTTTTCAGAACTACCTAAGTGTGACCTCAGTTATTCCTGGAATCTATTTTCGGCTTTCTCATCACTTAATTCAATTTTAATGGGTCTTCTTGGCGTGGCTTTTTTGCGTCCAGTGAGGCGGAAGCAGATGCGTGCCCACATAAGAGCATGTTCGGAGTCCAAACAGGTATTCCAGAACGAGCGACAATCTTCTATCGATGCTTTCCAACGATGACTGATGGCAATATGATCTGTTTGAGTCCATCGTTGGTTTGTTGCAGGGGGTCGCCATTATTAGACGATGTCTCTCCTTATGTTTAAAATTAGTGTTTACTAGAAATAAGCGATTGTTTGAGCACAGTTGCAGCGGACGATCGCCATTATCTGTTCGCTGAGCCGGGATACCAAAATACTCACCTAAATGCCTTTCTGTTTGGTTTAAGCTACCTACTTGGGTATTAAAGTCACCTGCTACGCGTACTATGTCTGAGCGTTTAGCTTTCTGTAAAATTCATCTTTCACTTCATCCGAGCTGCAGTCAGTGGGAGCGTAGGCAGAAACGACAAAAAGGCAACGACGTGTATCCCTATCCTTCTGAGTTCTTACGGAGCCGTTTAGCCGAACAGCACATAGACGACTGTTGACGGGGATCCACTCTAGCAGTGCTTGTTCCGCCCTCATGCTTAGTGCTATGCCTACACCTGCCAGTCTACGAGAACTGGCCATCGGATCAACAGATACACAGAGGGTGTATCTCGTCGGCTCTCCGTTTTGCCGAGGTGAGGTCAAGTGAATGACCACACTGGTATCCTGTATGCGTGTTTTGGAGAAACAGCATACATCAATGGTATAAGGTTTTAGGGTTTTAGTCAAGGAGGACTGCTGATCTATCTGACATAATGTGCGTACGTTGAAGGCTCCAATGTGTATTTTGGAGCGAGGTTTCAATAGACCTGGGACAGAGTTTTGCGCACTAGAATCGTTGGTCATGGTGACACTTGAGGAGGAGGCCGAAATAGGAAGTTCAGAGTTGAAAGTCGATGTAAGAGATATAATAAGAATTGAAGAGGGAGGTTGGTTATGAATACGGTGGTCTTGAGTGCTGTTAGAGGTATGAGGGCGGTTATCACTTCCCGGTTGCCCTCACTGAGGAAGGGTTCTTCTGGAAGTACCTGAAAAGGAAATTGGATTAGAGGCGGTCTCAGTGACCTGAGAGCGTGACCGCAGTGCCCAAGGGACAACTGCTTGAAGTCGGTCGCGCACGGCCTTTTCGTGGGAGGTTTTTGACGTGTTAGCTTCGTTCTTCAAAGGGCCTTACCGCCGGAGACGGAAATCCGTGAGGTAAGGTGAGGTGTGCATTTTTAGGGTCGACCTTTTCTAACCCCACCCCTCCTTGTGGGAAGGCAGCATCGCTGTCATGCTGGTTGTCTGAAGGAAACACCTTACTGCTGTCACACCTCTCTACAGTCAGCAGTACTAATTCGCCTTCGGACCTTGGGTTTGTTGCTTTTGGCCTTACCTCTCTCCAATCGACCTGTCTGACATGGTAGGACCTTGAGGAATGGTTGTTCCAACCAGTATAGCTCGGTTGCTTCATCACGATAGGTGAGCCTGACCACCACTTCAAGGTAGCAACAACGGTCGAGCAAAACAATCAACTGGAAAATAAGCCTTTACCTCATACCCATACGATTTGAAATTTTTGCCTGTGCAAACCTCATATCTGGGTTAACTGGTTCTCTGATTGCTTCGGGAAAACTTGCTACTCCCTCTGATTCATCATACCACTGACTAGGGATTCTACTCAACATACATTGGTTGTGAAAATATCCAACTTCTGATACAATAACTTCAGAAATGTGACTAGAATTCGACTCATTGGGGAAATATTTGTCACCTTCATTAGGAATATCACTAGGGATAAATCCATTGTGAGAACAATTAAAATTTGATTCTTCTGAAATATTTTCCTCAAATTTAATAAGAATTTCATTAAAGAATAATGGATCACTAGAAAAATCAGTATCTATCAGGACTGCGTCGAATTTTCGATCACGATATGATTTATTTAATATGTTTTCCTCAGATTTATAAGAAATTCCATCAGAAATATGTGAATCATTAGGACAAATCATAACTCACAGAATAACATGAGAAATCCGATAAGAAGTTGGTTGAGTAGGAACTTTTGTCTCACGATGATTCTGAGTGTCATTTAATTCTGGACTGCTATGTGACTCTATACTGCTTTTTAAAATCGTGGATAAAGATAAATGATCATTACAAATACTCAACTTAATATGATGAAAATTACAAAATTTAGTATTAGTTGCAGAGAAATGAACAACATTACTATAAACTGACTGTCCAGTCTCACCACATTTAAAGGATTTGGAATTGCGAAATACACATGAATTAAATGAGTAAAACTTGCCATGGGACAAACATTAACCAAACTTGTGCCCATCTTCGTGACCTGAATCGCAACTCCTTTATGAACTGTCATATGAATAACCTTGACTAGGATGACGTAGTAAAATAGTGGAATTCCTGATGATCTGACGAATCATTTTATGAAGTTTTCCTCCTTTACCGCATTCGAAATTTGTACACTTTACATGGTCTAGTAGTAGTTGCTCGAGAGTTGCATGAGGGAGTGAAATCGGCTTGTCTGGAAATGCCAATCTTTATTAATCTGTATGTTTCTTTTCGGTTGAATGTAAAGAAATGAGTCACAATATTAACATTCTCAACATCGTCCTTGGTCATAGTCCAGATTTCAAACCTTTCCATGTAATCCTCAAAAGCGTCAGAGTTCAAATGTATGTCCAGCCGTTCCATCACAGGCTCCATCACGACGTCAACGTGATAATTAGGAGTATTTGAATTATGGGCCTCTATATGCCTTGGTACGGCCGAGAGTAGGGAGAATCCACTTTCCCTCTCGAAATGCTCTCACATGGTCACGCGTATACAGCCTCTGCCAGGGAAGTCCTACTCACTGCCTTCTCGTGGCGGGGGTGTTGTTCACGAAATTGAGAGGACGAAAAGCGAATTTCCGGCGCTTCAACCGGGTTGGTGGATATGGAGAGTCCAGCTAGGGGCGTTGGAAAACCCTGATTCCAAACAAATGGCGCACAAGGGCTCCAGGGTCCTGAGGGAACAAATGGCGTACGAACCAACTGTTGGTCACCGGCTACCATGGGACTGCATGTCCTTACGATGCTCCAATGCCTAGTGGGTGAGACCTTTAGGTCTAAGGCTCGGGGTGTGGCCCCCTAAGAAAACCACCTGCTTCAGTTTGGGCATCAGGGCAGTATCACAGCTCTCACACATATCAAATGAGATCTGTGTGGCGCATATGTATTTGGTGTCTACTTGTACCAATATCTATGTGTTCAAATAATAATGATAATTTGAAATATGGTACAAACTAAGAATCCCAGAATGAATGAACTGCAAACCCTTGTCTTTCAATCGGTAATATATTAATCCAGAAGCGGAAAAATTACATCTATTGAAGCAACTAATATATATATAACATTTGTTACAAACATTTGGAATTGCGGTGGCTAACAAGAGACTTCGCCAGTTATGATATCGCATTGGCTATTATTATTCAGATTAGTTCATGATTAGGTTCAGATTTCATTTAATAAGGTTTGAGAGCCTATTAGGTTAATCTGCAGAAACCAATCGACTTATTTCATCTGATGCATTGGGTCGCTAGATGGTTTATTTTTTACGCTTATTCCATACAGGATTTGGTACACTTATGTATTGGCTTGACTAGATTTCTTTACAAAACGATTTTAATTCCTCAATGAATTTACAATATGCTTTCTTTTTGTAACTCCAGATGCTTGCTTATTCCTATTAAAAACAAAGTCTATTTTACTCAGAAAATATCTGCTACGGCAGACTAGACGCTTGGGATTCATACTTTCGAAATGGCTTCTAAAATGAATGGATTTGCAAGACAAGGTGTCATTCGTGATGACAACGGTATAGTTTTATTTACTAGTAGTTTAAGCCTTGTCATATAGGTAATTTGATAATCCCCCCAACCCAACGACCAGATGGTACATGGAGAAAAGCTGTTCGTGTTAAAGAGGGGTACATTCCTCAAGAAGAAATTCCACTGTAGGTTATGTTGCTTTCCTTTGTTTTTACCAAATCTTATAAATTGCCTTAGTACTTGTTAATTTTACGACTCAAATATTTGGTGCATCTAGACTACCACAATTTCTCTCCGTAAATGATAAAAATGAAGACCTTTAAAACTAAAAAAAGAATCAAGCATGATTTCACTGGTAAATTAAAGTTTGTTAGCATTAAAATCTACAAAGATACTACCCATTAACTGAAACTTACGTAAATCTGATCATGTTATAACCCTCTGAAGTACATGATCTGTCAAACTTAACCTAAATGAGTTTCTATACATCAGTGCTAACTGCTGAAGCCTATGAGCATTTTTAAATCGACATTCGAAAAATTATTCGTCTGTTGAAGATAAATAAATCTAGTCAATGAGTTTTCGGATCGTCGATCGAAGTATTCGAGGTTTCGCATAGGTTTGTGGAAGTCTCAATGCTCTAGTTAACCATCGATGAAATGTGAATAGGCATATTCACAGCGAACACGCACTTGTTATTCCATGATAGACTAGTATAGGTTATCTATAATTAAGTAGAAGTTGATACCTACTTACAATTAACAACCGTCTGTGTTGTTACTTCATATCCGTTCTTTGTTATCCAGAAACCAATCATGCGTCAATGACGTGAATATACACACAAGATTACTGTTCTGTCTGGAAACGAAATATGCTTTATGTGTCAATTTCCTTCTGGTAGGGAGAACAATAGATATCCAATTCGCTTTGTCGTTGGCAGCTTATGTGCTTGTACCCACAAAATGATTTCTTAAACGAGTTCCTCACATACGAATTCTTCATCTTCTTGTTTCGCCTGTTGGCGTTAGCTTTGAGATCAATTCATTTATTGACTAGTCAAAAGATTTTGCATCATATACGTTACGCTTTTATTTTGAAAATCCAGTTACCGATCTGCTGGTGTACAAATCCTTGAGAAAAAATCACAGTTCGTCATCCCAGGTTTGACAAAAGACGATGCGGAAAAGCTAAAGCTAGAACGACAAAAACAGTCACAATCTGATACACCAGCATTAAACCCAGTCCTTAAAAAGAAAAAATCTAAGAAATCAAAATGCAAACAAACTGATGTCCAATCTCCAGGTTAGTGCAACAATCTGTCAACTTACAATCTATATATATATATATATATATATATATATATATATATATATATATATATATATATATATATAACGTATGTTTCCTATACGTATCACCAACATGTATGAAAATATTACCTGGGTCTCGAAATAATAAGAATGTAAATCAAAGCTTCAGTAAAATCGTTGTATAGATATACATTTAAACAAACGAACGAGCTTCAAATGAATAAATAAGATATTTCTGATAAATTGAAAATGCTTGATTATTAACCAACTGTTTTTTTCTTATTTTGAAGATCAATATTCTTTTCTGCTAGTAGGATAATAACCCCATACAGGATGAAATAACTACGTTGTAAAAAGCTAGGAAATAAAAATCCGCAAAACCTTGCAAAATATTAAAGAGAAAAATTAAAATGGGGTTATAGTTAAAGCGAATATCCATTCTCTTAGAAGTAAAATTAATATTGATAGCACATAGGAAAACTTCTTCATCATTATAGCTGCTGATTTAGATTTCATAATCAAGTTTTTGAATCTTTATAATTCCACTCACAGTTCTGATGAGCTGTATAATTGTCCTTCATTCGACGATATCATACTGGTGGATATTATATACTATACGTTACTTACAATAATACTTCATGCCTGATTTCACTGATAATCTGCAATATAAATTGCTCCTATCATTTCTGTGCAGTCAGCTCCTCATAGCTATCATCACCGCTAGTTACGTGTAGGAAGATCTTATATAAATACTCCATAAAGTCATCATTTATATGAGTCTACTCAAAAAAGGTGTTTTGATGTAATTCGAAATTGCTTCGATTTAATTTTTAGGAACATCAGAGCAAACAGAACTGGATTCAACAAAACTTACAAAATGCAGTACTACTTCACCAAATTACTCTGATAAAGTGAACATTGAAATTCCAACTGATGCAACCGTGACTAACACTGAAAATATTGATCGACAGCTTAAACGTGAACATAAACGATTACTCCAAATAGAAGAGATAGAGAAAAAGAAACAAGCTGGAGAGAGTTTAAACAAAGACCAATTGATAAAGTTAGGCCACAAACAAGCTGTTGAACAGCTCATTGAACAGCTGACGTTACTTAAAACTAACTGACGTTGTCCTGCCCTTTTTTCGACAGCAGAATCGATTTCGTTTTTTTACTTTTTCTGTCCCCACCCCACTTTGTTCCAAATGTTTTTAAATCGAATATAACAGAACCAAACTAGACAAGATTAAGAATACACTAATGAATTTATTAAATAATTGGTCCACTACCAATAAACAGGTTATTAGTTAGTAATACTCAGTTAAACAAACTAATATGATGCAACGGCATTTGTGCATGTTCATTAGCATTTTATAAACCTCAATTTCTATATGGAAAAATATGGTACTTTTAATATCTTTTACAATATGTTTGTATAATCGATGTAATATATAAATTATAATCACACTTATTTTGTAGTATAAAAAGTACTGTTGCTGGTTGAAACAAAATTTTGATAAGTGTACACCTATTTAACTCAAAGTTTAATGATGATTATAAAAACAATCTCAAGAAAGATTCATGTAACAGGATGCAGTTATTTTGTGCAATACTAATTGTATTTATGAAAGTAAAATAACTTCAAATTAATAGTTAATATGTAGTTTGCAAACAGTAGTTTAAAATATTTTAATACTATTCTTGTCATGGATTATTCATATTGTGATATGCGAATTTTGTTATAAATAAAATTATTGTAAGCATAGTGAATTATATCGTGGTGAATTTTATGCATTTACCGCGAATTCAATATGAAACATTTGAACATCAATGTTACGTCAAACAAAATGTTTGCAAATGAATGCAATCTTTCTCTTATATATTACTACCTTTGACCTAACCACTGCTATGAATCCGGTGTTCATCTTGTTGTGCTGATGCGGTATGTCAACCTGGACCGATGCACATATGTGCCTGGTCCTACGTTGTAGCTGACTGACTGACTTGCAAATGAACAGATGCTTGTTGTCAAAGATTAAAAAAAACAAAATATCCTAAGTGTTTTTGTTCCACTGTTAAGTCTTGGTAAAGGCTAGTTAACATAATAACTCTTGTCAGTTTTAATATGACAGGATAGAAAGATGACAATATTTTCTTGTGTCGACTGATCGTCAACTTTGTTCAGTATGATCAGTGTCAAATTTCGTTCTATGTAACATATTCTGTATCGGGTATAACTTATGCCCCGGTCGATTAACAAGTGACGAAATCGCCAATCAGAATACCGACGTCTTTGACCTTGTCCGTGTACTAAACCAATTACGAATAAACCAGCACTAGCAACCTTGCGTTAACTCTGAATCGTTATTGGTCCTCAAATATGGTAGATTCTCGCCTTGCCCATTGAGTTCAGAACACAATATTGGCATCCATTGTGTGAATGATATACTTCAGAAATACGTGATTTATATACAAGCAGACCAGACCCCGTCTCATCATAAAGTAAAAAAGTAAGAATTATACAAGGTCAAGCCAAAAGTGGCTGTATGGGAGACTGTAAATAATAGACTGGGAACAAATTAAGAATAGTAAGTTGTACCATAGTGGTCAAATGAAAGCTTATGATAAAGGGAGTATAAATATATATAATCTAGCTACTTAATAATTATCCAGTAAGAATATATGTAATAATAGTCCATAAATAATTCCTAGCAGTTACTATCCATTTATTCTTCGTTCGGATTTAACAGGTGAACTATATCCAGTGTTTTTACAGTAATTGTGTTTCCCCTTGTAATATTTTGTGTTAAAATTAGTACATAAATAATCGTACTTTATGCCTGAGGATAAAGTTTTTGGAGAGTCAATAAATCTTTATTGCACTAGTCTTTCGTGTTCTCATTTTGCGTTGTGGGAATTGTAGTGATTCCCGTTTCCCAGTAAAAACAATAAGACCGGGGAAGTCCATTAGTTACCGACTGTCAAACAATGGCAGTGAGACTGCAGACACAACATAGTTAGTACGTACGTAACAGTGCTGATATACCAGACATAACAGTTTTAGTTCATCCACTTTTCAGAAGTAAATAAAAATAAAAGATGGTGTGTTTGATACTGATGTCGATAGATATCAGTAGTATGTACCATCAACTGAAAGTGAAATACCTGACAGCAAAGGTGAAGAAGAGCGAAGAAAAGAGAACAAGAACAAAGAATGAATGTTATGGAAACGAAGGAACAGTGAAGTCTGAGATGATTGACTGATATTTGCAAAGGAAAAGTCAAGTTTTAGATAATTGATTGACGTTTCGCAAATTATTTATTGTATGGCTCTCAGATTTTCCTAAGTTCTGTAATTTTGTATTTAAATGCATTCGATTGTACCCACTTGTGTCATCATTCACTGCAATAGACTTAAAATATAACGGTATTTTCTTTCTACGGTACAACGAAAAGTGGATATGTCCGCGTTGCGAACTTCCATTTCAAGTCACGCCTCTGGTTTTAACTATAGTGGTCCCAAAGTAACAGATCCATATACCCAGAAGACACTCTACATTTATGATATCTCTCTGATAGCTTATTACTGAAAATGACTTAGCAGTCATGAACTATGTATAATGTTAAGAAACCCACTGTAGATATTGCCAGTTTAGTGATAGTACATAACATGAAGTGAGTGATTTGTCCGTGAATCCCTCTGTGTCTTTCTAAACATTATTATCAGCACAAGTAGTTGATATCTAGTTGATGTGTAATGTGTTGCTCTGTTACTTTGATTATGTGCTCCCCTACTTTTTGGTTAGTGGCTGTTTTTTCTATAGGCTGATATATCCAATCGATCAACATGCATATCAATATCCACACTACTTTTAGACACATTTTGGTAAATTACTTCCTCCTCACTGAAGTTTCGACTCAGACATTCGATAAATAAACCAACTGGCCTGAAAAAAGCCATACGTTATCAAACTAGTAGCTGTGAGCTATGAATCTTCACCATCTCATCATCTTATGGTATACAACTGAAAATATTTCACTGCAAAAATAACTAAAACAAGCAGACCTATTACGTATTCTGTATACAAAAACTTTTTAGAAATTAAAACACAACAAAAATGATATATTCACATGTACTTTTTTAATTGTGAGCATAATGGTTTTAGAAACAAAATCGAATGTCAAAAGCAGTTATATCCAAGTGGAGTGAATTTATGGGTTACTGATGTAAATTTGATCAAACACTTTTTAAAAAAAAAGATTTCGAGAGGTGTACATCCAGTTAAATAAATTGTTATGATGGTATTTTGTTTTATTAACCGATATATATATATATATATATATATATATATATATATATCAAATATTATTATAAGAGAAAAATAGGAGAGGATGCGATACATATACATATTTTTTATATAATAATATCAGGATCGTCACAACATAGAGAGATTATTTAATCGTGTAGTAGGATGTAGAAGAAATATGTTTATAAAACAATAAGATTGCACCAACTAACACTACTACACATAAACAACTATCTTGAGAATGGAGAAGGAAGAAAATGCTCTGACAATTTTCATTAGTTTTTGTATGAAAAAAAAGTACAACCAACTTGGTGGTGACAACAACGCTTATCCCTTGAATGTTTCACTGGTTTATATATATATTGCCTACACATTATCTTCTCATTAAAAGACAGCAACAAAAGAAATAAAATGAGGAAAATGCATACAACAAATAAAAATGAACAGAAATTTTTAAAAATACAAACAAACAAAAGCCACATTAATTCGAAATGAGAATATGCACACATACATAGGTTAAACTAAAAATTTGTGTTGAAAGACAACCAAAATTTATAAAAAGAACTTTGAGCAATATTAATAAGTAAGACCAATAAATGGAATAGAAATGGGCAAATATTACATTGTTATTAAAAGCATGCATACTATGTATATATACTGAACACTAATAATTTGTATTAATGTTCCTTGTGAAGCAGAAATTCTTTGTAATTCAACAAATGATTTATACGTGTGAATTACTATACACAAATGCAATTCGTTTGTCTGTTAGTTGAAGAAATAAATTGAGATCAATTAGATTACAAAATGTATGCATATGAGACACTGGAGAGTTTGGTGTGTATGTACTTTAAAAAAAAATTAGTCAATAATGATGTTCTCAATAGAATATTAATGTAGGACGGATATTAGGAGGTCCGAAAATGGTAAATAAAACCAGCCAATAATTAAATTGTCACGTTAGTGCAGAATGTAAAGAAAAACAAATCCGGTTGATACAGCTATTTCAAGATATAATGGCACGTCGAAATGAAGGTGAAGATGTTAAGCTATCCAAACTACCCCATTTTTTCTTGGTAAGACATTTTTGAACAAGATCATGAAATTGATCGTCCATTACTCGTGAAAATGCCTAAATATAAGTTAATAATCAGATACTTTCAGAAAAGTAGTTGTGTAATCATAAATTTATATAATAATTCTCATTTTTACTCATTTTATTTCCGTTATACATTTATCAACACACTTTGAAGTCCGAATGCTCAGAATGTTGATAATTTACCAAGATATTTAAGTCTAATCATCTTTTAAATTTTTGTAAAGGTCTTAAAGAATGTAGGACAGTTGATGGCATACTCGGACTTTTATTGTACAATAACATGTATGTCATAGACGGATTACATCAAAATTTATTACGTGGATTAATTTATTTATCCTTCCGAAATATTTTCATAACACCGTGATTATACAGTACGTCACAGAAATCGTATACGGGTATTCGTTCTTCAGAGTATTATTTTACGTAGTTGAAATCAAGTACCACGGATTAAGTTGAAAAACTCAGGCATCTTGACAAGAGATTATCACATGACAGGTACTTCGTTGAATGTTTGAAAGATACTAGCTGTGGGAAAGATTACTGAACAGTAGTATCACAGTTCTTAGACAAATTACAGTATGAAACACTAAAATATGAGCTTGATTCTATCTTATTTTAAATCCGAATAATTACATTGGTTAAGCATCATAATCAATATAGTACATGATACAACAAACAAACCCTAGTATCTTGATACTATGATTTATTTATCATGTGCTTTGAAAAATGTCACATTTTATAGATATCAAAATGAAACAATATCTTACTAAGACTTCATGTTTCGATAGCATTTTGATATTCAAAAAAAACTGGACCTTACGTATAAACAAAGACTAACATCATATAGCTATTCGAACATGAGTGCTATTTATTAGTCTCACAAAAAAACTTCTAAAACCTTTACTAGTTCTTATTTCACTAATTAACTTTTTCACAGGAAATGGGATAAATATGTCATAGGGATTCCAAGTCGGTATACTATCCCCATAAAATTGTAATAATAAAAATTGTAAACGGAATCGAGAAAGTTCGCATATATATCTATATATACCTCAAGTTTATAGGCACGATCGGTAGATAATAACGTTGGCTGATAACTAGGTCCACATAATGATCTAATATCAAAATAATATTTCGCATAAACTGAACTAGGTACATTAATATTGAATTGAATTATTTCCAAAAATCGTCTTTCTAATTCATTTCTAAAAATAAAAAAAAGAAAGTAATTTTTACAATAACAAAAAAGTTATCAATAAGTAGTCAAATGAATTTCTCTAAAAAAAAATTTAACCGAACACAATAAACTTGTAAATATTTTGAGAAAATGTTTATTAAAAGCAACAATGAATCAAAATGTAAACGGTACGTTCACAAATCAATTTAGAATGTTTACATAGATATCTAGAAAAAAACTAATTTTTAACCATTTTAGTCATTTGAATGAAAAAAACCTACACGTTCTCATTTCTGTAGACAATTCAAATTTTTAGATTTATCCATTATGAGATTTTTTTTGAATTCCTGTGTATAACAGTCAAAATAGAAAGTTAGAAAATAAAATATATGGATCACATACAATTCAACGACGCCTCATATACAATGTACACAAAACAGTTTCATATACAGTTTTGTCTCTACTCTCTGTCTAGTTTAGCTGTCTACGTATGTGAACAGTATCTTTACAGAACTACAAATGATAAGAGTATACCAACGTTACAACTGCTACGTGTGGCATGATGCCTGAATCTTTAAAATACAAATAGAGATAGCATCATAGAATCTCCTGCTTTGTTTTGGGCACACGGGCAGTATCACAGCCTACACACAAATCAAGTGACTTGTGTGGCGCATATTTATTCGGTGCCCCTTCGTACCAATTTTTATGTGTTCAAATAAATCATAGAATCTTGAACAAAGAGTATAGGTTCAAGTTCTCAAGGAATGGTGTTAAAGTTTAGTGAATCACTGTGATAGATCTTGTGCCTCTCCACAAAGTTGGCTAATTATGTATGTATGTTTGAAATAATAGCTTCTATCAAACTCAGGGCTCCAATCAAGACATTTGACCAACAGTAATTGATCTTGTAGAAAATTGGTATGTTTTAATCTCATTATTTTTAGTTTATTTTCCAACCTAATCCTTAATTCAGTTGGTACATGAAGCTTTGAATACAGTAGAAAGAAATTAGATATCAAAAGGCATTGAGTTAAGGGAAATTTCATGTGCATATATCAACTCTACTGTACCTAAACAAAGACATTAAAAATTTTGAAAAAAATATACATATAGAGAGAAACCTTATCAGATATTACATGCTATATCATTTTTTTTATTGAGTGAAGTCAGGTGCTTGCAGCTTACATAAATTCACTTTACTTCATGATGTCAATAATGGTATAAAAAAAAGCGTTGACAATCAGTAGTACATATTTTCATAGTCATTATTTTTTAATGAGGTGAACGAAAATATTACAGAATAATAAAAATTACAAGTTATAAAATTCGCCTTTAATTTATACGTGCGTGCACTGTGTTGATATGACATGATGGTTGGAGGTAGTCAACAGGAAATTATGAAACAATATATTGTGCTATTCGGTACTCGTCAGCAAAGTGTACCTGTAATTTTGAGGGAACTGACGCTTCCTGAAGGACCCGATCCCGTGTCACCCAGCTTTACAGTCAGAGACGTTATCACTAAGCTATACAGGCCGCGACTGACCTTGTGTAGGCCTGGAACTTATTTACAATCCACTGATCACTAGATAGTGATCGACTACCTCCAACCAAAATAACACTTCTAGTTTAATCGGTTTGTCACATAAAACACTACTGACTTTGATAGCATAAACTAATCTCAGTCAGTCAGTCATCTAAAACGTAGAACCAGGCATATATGTGCATCGGTCCAAGTTGCCATATCTTATTAGTACAGGAGAACACAAAATTCATAGAAGCAGTTACTTCAATGGTAGTAATATATATAAGAAAAGATTGCATTTAGAGATATGATACAGGGAGAAAGAATTGGTTCGTGGAAAGAAAGGTATAAAGTCATTTTAATCTCACGGTTTAAGGGAAGACAAAGAGTGTATATAAACTACTTTAAATGTCCTTAGTCATTGATCATTATACACAGAATTCTTGTTTCATAATAATGAACAAACTGCAACGTAAATTTTTAGCCTTTTTTGTGATTTATTGTTCAGCAATTACAAATAGCACGAGTGTAAGAGTTTTATAAATTTTATGTGGTGTTTAGTATTCAATTCTAGTCATCCATACACATTCAAAAGTCACGTTAAACTCAGTAGATATTTCGAAGATATCAGTATTAAAATATACTATTTTGTTTACCATTCTAATAAAAATAGATAAACAATCGCACCATATACTAAATAATTAGTATCTATGAGGACTTTGTCAGTGTCACAGATGAAACAATGTAATTAAAGAGTTGATCCTGTACACGTACGATATATAATTAACATTCTGATAACGTACGTTATCAAAATCAAAACTTTTGCTAAACGTAAGTTGAACAATTAAGAGTTTGAACTAAACAGCTGGTATTTTTTTTCAATTATATACGTGAAGAACTAACTTTCAACAACTAAGTTTTCAATTTGAATCAGACTGTATGTATTACAGTTTAATAAGTCAATTATTAGTATCACTAATTCCTGTGTAAGAAATGTGACTCAAGATGAAAACAATGACCTATATTTTTTGTTACTGGTACTCATCATCTAAGAGATATAGAAAAGTCAGCAGAAAAATTACTGTTTTGTTTACAGATTGATGATAATAAGTTCAAAACAAGATGGAATTTACAAACGATTTAATGAAAAAAATGTACATATATATAGCGAGAGAACCAATCAATAAATCACAAAAATGTTTAATTGATCATCATAAAGAAACGAAAGTGAAATGTATTTTTATTATCTACTTAATGAAAGCTATTGCACAGTATGCGTGCTTCATCTCTATTTCATAAGATCAACTTTCATGACAAGTGTTTATTTTGAAGAAGAAGAAGAAAGTAACATTTATTTTCAAATAAAAGTTTAATTTGAAAACAATGTGGTTAAAATAAATTTAATCTAACAAAAATATGATCCATATACATTATTATACGTAGGCTGGTAAATCCGTTTTATTAGATAGTATGGTTGTGTAGATGTTATTAGTTAAACTTAACTCCCATCTATAGGGTAGATAACCTGACCAGTATGAAAACTGAAGTCACATAAACTTTGATTTACAAATTCTACAGAACATTAAACTTATTCTATTCAAAACTCCATACTTTTGATGATACATATGTCATCTATATCGTTTAAAACATCTCTGGAAATCCTAAGAAGTCAGATTCTTCAGGTATCACATTGTCTCATACAATTTTCTCAATTCCAAATAATTTGCTAAAGTCGTGTGCACAAACCATTTTCTTCCACGTTTAGTCTATCAGTGGCGATTGAAACACACAAGAGACTGTATGGATTCAGTTTCATTAAAACTGGAGATCGATGGTTGTTTTTGTGTTTAAAAAGTCATGACCCCTCATGAAACCTTAGGTTTACTTGAGTACCGTTGTTGTATATAATGTATTATTTTAGTAAAAACAAATAATAATTTCCTCATGAATTTGCAGTTTTTTCCGAGTTCTTTTACGGGCACTCATTGGACAGTAAATGTAAGTTAGCTGTTCATCATAATTCATTAAAAATGAGTTGACATAAAAGTATTAACTCCAAACAAACTGTCGCTGTGTTATATATTCAATTCAATACAGTTCAAAAAAAGAACTACTATTTATTTAAAATATTCAGCATTTATTTTAAAACCCTGGTAACAAAATAATTTCGATAACTTTAAAGAGATTGAAATTAACAGTTCTCATTAAAAAATTTAAGAACAAAGAATATTACAGAGAACCATCGTTATCGATAACTTTTTTATCAGGCTCTACAACTATCAATCCAAAATGATTATTATTGTATTACAATAGATATAATCTATGTCATAAATTGGAAATGTCAAATTTCAACTTTAATATTTTATCTATTGTATTATAATCACAATAATTTTGAATTGATAGCTCTAGAGTCTGATAAAGAAGTTATCGATAACGATCATTCACTGCAATATCTTTTGTTCTCAATAAACAATGAATACAACTGTAATATAGATCAAGTCGGTCAATCGCAACGTAGAACCTAGTACGTATCTATATCGGTTCAAGTTACCATATCCCATTCTATACATGGAACGTCCGGACAATGTGGAAGACCAGTAAAATAGCAACGGAAATGAGGAGATAAAACTTGGCAGTACTGGGAATCAGCGAAACCCATTGGACCAAAGCTGGACAACAAAGGCTGAATACGGAAGAGACGTTGCTATACTCTGGTCACGAAGAGGAAAATGCTCCACACACTCAGGGAGTTTCTCTAATGCTGTCCAAAGTAGCACGAAATGCACTTGTAGGATGGGAATCTTACGGATCCAGAATCATCAAAGCATTATTCAAAACAAAGAAGGAGGGGATCTTAATGAATATTATCCAATGATATGCACCCACCAATGATAGCAAAGACGACATTCTATGGGAGGCTGCAATCAATCACAGAGAAGTGCCCAAGAAACGACCTCACCATTCTGATGGGAGATCTAAACGCCAAAGTCGGAATAGACAACACCGGATATGAAGATATCATGGGACGACATGGATTGAGAGAGAGAAACGGAAATGGAGAAAGATTTGCAAATCTGTGTGCATTCAACAAATTGGTCATAGGTGGCGCAATATTTCCACACAAACGTATATACAAAGCTACATGGATCTCACCGGACCACACCACAGAGAACCAGATACATCATATTTGCATCAACAAAAAATTCCGAAGGACAATGGAAGATGTGAGAACCAGGAGAGGAGCTGACATAGCTTCAGATCACCACCTAGTTGTGGCCAATTTAAAACTGAAGCTAAAGAAGGACTGAACAAACAGCACTACAAAGGTTCAATACAGCCTTCCTTCGAGATACTGACAAACTCAATGAATTCAAGATGGCTTTCAACAACAGGTTCCAAGCCTTACAAGATCTACTGAAGGAAGAAGAAACTACCATGGAGAACAACTGGAAAGGTATCAAAGAAGCATTAACTCCAACACGTCAAGAGGTTCTGGGTCTCAAGAAGCATTATCATAAGGAATGGATCTCTATGGAAACACTGGACAAGATCAAAGAAAGGAAGAACAAGAAGACAGTAATTAACAACAGCTGAACACGAGCAGAGAAAATTCAAGCACAAACTGGGTAAATAGAAGCAAACAAGCAAGTGAAGAAGAGCATTAGAGCCGATAAGAAATACGTGAAAGAACTAGCAACGACTGCGGAAAAAGCTGCAAGAGAAGGAAATATGAAACAGCATTATGATACAACGAAGAAACTAGCAGGGAAATATAGAAAACCAGAGAGACCGGTCAAAGACAAAGAAGACAGGCCAATCACTGAAATTCAACAACAGCGCCAAACTTCGAGATCAACAAGCTGGATTCCGTAAGAATCGGTCGTGCACAGACCAAATAGCGACATTACGGATCATCGTCAAACAATCAATTGAGTGGAACTCAACACTGTACAACAACTTCATTGATTATGGAAAGCCATTTGACAGTGTAGATAGGAGAACGTTATGAAAACTTCTTCGACACTACGGAGTTCCTGAGAAGATTGTCAATATTATCCGGAACTCATATGACGGACTACAATGCAAAGTAGTGCATGCACGACAGCTGACAGATGCATTCCAAGTAAGGACAGGAGTCAGATAAGGCTGTCTACTCTCTTCCTTCCTCTTTCTTCTGGTGGTCGACTGGATCATGAAGACCTCGATATCTGAGGGAAAACACGGAATATAATGGACAGCTCAGAACCAGTTAAACGATTTGGACTTCGCAGATGACCTACACTTCCTATCGCATACACACGAACAAATACAGATAAAAACGGCCAGTGTAGCAGCAATCTCTGCATCAGTAGGCCTCAACATACACGAAGGGAAAACCAAGGTCCTAAAATTCAAAGCGGAGAACAGCAATACAAACACACTTGATGGCGAAACTCTGGAAGATGTAGAATCCTTCATATACCTGGGAAGCATCATCGATAAACGAGAAGGATCCGATGCAGACGTAAAGGCGAGGATTGGCAAAGCAAGGGCCGCATTCATACAATTGAATAACATATGGAACTCGAAACAACTTTCAACCAATATCAAAGTGAGAACCTTCAATACGAACGTCAAGGCAGTTCTACTGTATGGAGCTGAAACTTGGAGAACTACAACAACCTCCATCAAGAAGGTACAAGTATTTATAAATAGCTGTCTTCGCAAGATACTCAACATCCATTGGCCGGATACCATCAGCAACAGCCTTCTGTGGGAGAGAACAAACCAGATTCCAGCTGAAGAGGAAGTTAGGAAAAGACGATAGAAATGGATAGGACATTAATTACGCAAATCATCAAACTGCATCACGAGGCAATTCTTAACTTGGAATTCTGAAGGGAAGCGGAAAAGAGGAAGGGAAATAGAAGCAGATTTGAAAAGGATGAATAACAACTGGAGGGAGCTGGAAAGGATTGCCCAGGACAGTGTTGGATGGAGGATGCTAGTGAGCGCCCTATGCTCCTTCATTAGGAGTACCTGGCGTAAGTAAGTAAGTACCATACCCCATTAACACAGAGATGAAATGTTCAGACCAAACCCCAAAATAGCAGAAGTAGTATAGATCAAGTAAGGTATAATGAGTTTTATGTTACTTGTAAAAACAATAAACACGCTTAATTCTCATGTATAAACACAATGAAAGAGTGATTCATGTAAAGAGTCAGAGGATTAAATTATTATCCTCATATTATGTAGACCTCATTTATTATAATTTTATGTGACCATTAAAAAGCTATAGTTAGCATTTGATTAAATGAATAATTTAGAAATAATTAAGTGAACAACTCAAACATATCTGATTAAGTTACAAACTGACCGACATAAAAGCCAAGAAATCTAAACATGTAACTCATAAAATACGTTACTTTTAATAATATACTTTATCAATGTACTTGTTAACTAAAAATAGCTTATGCAAAGTTAATAGAGTGATAACTAAGTGTTGAAATCAATTAACATAATGTTTTTCAATGATAATTTACTTCAGTCAATGTAAAATTATCACTTATTCCTAAAAAACACCTATTCCATTTTTTATTAATACTTAATGTCAAAGGTTTATAAATCGATTGCTGTTTTGTCTTGTCATTCCTTTTTTATATAATCATTATTCCCATCTATCATGCATTTACCTTAGTTAAGTAACCAGTGAAAATCAGGAAGCATTGGTTCAATTGTAAGAGCACTGGTTACGGTTGGAGTTTAGCTATGTCAGGATTGAGGCAGTTACCCACTGAAGGAAATGGGAGATGGTTGTGTAGTATCGCGAGTTGGTTGAAGTTAGCTATCTAAATCATTGGATACAGGCTTTTTGATCTAAAGGCTTGCCTTGAGGCCGGAATATCCTAGGACGCATCATCGTTGAAGTCATTAATCTGTACTGTTGAGGGGTCTTACAGTAAGATTAGGAAATTGAAAGCCGACTTATAATTACTATCGATTGTGTATGTATTCAAACAAACAAAAAAACTGTGATTTGGCCAAATGAAACCACCTGTCTACTAAATGTACATTTGTAAATACTAAGACGGGATTAGGTTTGATACTGACTAAAGTGGTCAACTATTCATACAGAATTATTTTGAAAAAGAATCTATTCACTTTACAAATTCCTGTATTGAGAGATAGAGACACAGCGAGAGCAACGAGATGTAAAGTTTAGGAATTAGCATATTCCATTAAACTCGTTCAAATCTACTGTTTCATATCTGTGTGTACACACGTACACGTACAGAAAACAGGCAGGATTAACAAATTGGGCGAAGAGAAATAAAAATGAATGGAAAACTGCAAAACAATAAAAAAGCATTAGGTTTTAAATAATACTAAATTTGGTTGACAAAAATAATTCGCTTATCATTAGTGTTTGAATCATCCCATTAATGTTTAGAACTGCATTTGATCAGTTTCTTATTGGTAAATATACATCCTGTGTGGATTGCCCCCATATTGTCATTAAGTCACAAGTATTTCGGGCAGAGATGGATGGTAGTTAGTAGTGGAATACAGGACACAGGTTTTGACCTATTTGGGACGCACCAACTTGATGTACTTGCATCCCAGAGTTGATGTTCACTCCGAGATTCCAGAACTCAGTAGCTAAATGGACAACGGGATGACGTTTGAACCGAATGGTACTCACATTGAGTCTCAAAGTGAATCTCAATTCCAGGATCCCGGTGCACCCAGCTGACGAGTCCCAAAGAATTCGAAACCCGTAGCCTGGATTCCACTGCTAGGCACCATCCATCTCTGCCTATACAAACAAAAATAGATTATGTAAGATATTATCACCGCTATTATTACTACTTAGTTAAAAGTTTTAATTTCAAGTTATATGATTACGGAAATTTGAAATACTTAAAAACTCTCTCTCTGCTTTCGAAAACAATAGAAACTGTGTTAGATTTTATTAATGGAGAATTGATTCTACTATTATTATTATTAGTAGTAGTAGTATTAGTAAAAACTCAAACATTGCTTATCCATCGGTCATTGCAGAGCATGGTATAGTGATAATTCAAAGGTATATTAGTTAATATATTAAATTCATTTATTACAAACTTTTTTTCTTTTTCCGTTCGATGTTTTTCATTGTTCCATTTATATGAATTTAAATGAAAAATTTAACCAAAAATGAAAACACTTGGATATGCAGTAGACCAAAACTAAATGAAAATGGGATAATTTATATTTGATATAAGTATGTGTGTGTGTTTGTGTATTTCTGTTTCGGTCAATAATAACAAAGGAACAAATATACATACATATAAATACTACCAATGACCGGTATCATTGTTTTCTTTAAAAAAGATTTGACATTGTCAATTTCTCATCATGAAAACAATATCATAATACTCCACTGCTTATGTAATGCACATACGAAACAATTTTCATTACAAGATAAACACTTCACTTCATTCTCTCTCTCTCCCTCATTCCCCTCTCTTGCATACGCATAAACACAGAAATCCAACTCATCTGTCTATAGGATTTCTACCTTAACAAAGGAGTTATCTTTTGAAAGCAAAGCGCACTAAAATAAAAGATCAACTTTTTAAACAATTGTAAAGGAAACAAAAAAGAGATGTGAAAGAAAGGGATAGTTAACGTTATTCTGATTTATTGAATATTAATGGAAAGAAATGTTTGAGCCCTTAAGTAATTATTTCTAAGTTATAAAAATTGGAATTTTGATGAGTAATGATAGAAAAATAAGGTGAAAATAATATTGCTAGGAAGGCTTACGTCGTTACATTATATCATTCATAATTCAATATAACGTATAGGAAAAATAATGTCGAATTGTGTTTAAGTTGAAAGTGACATTTACATATTTCAATGAACACTAAGTAAATTTCAGTGGTGAATTTTAAGTGGTATATGGCATAAACATAAGATTTGATATCAACTGGTTTGAGACGACTGATATAAGGCTTTAAACTTCATTTACATATCGACAAGTACTTATTATCAATATGTATAGGCAATGTTTAAGGAAATAACCCACTTCCTGTTGGGCCCCAACCCGGGTCATTCAATATCACAACCACTAAAAGGTTTGGCTCGAAAATGATCTCCTGTAGGATTGAGAGGATTAAAGCAGTGAAACGGATGTGAACGTAATGTAGTGTCGAGAAAACAAAATATATGTATATTAAACCAACAGAGTACACAGTCCGAAACTTACACATCATCAACTTGCATATCTTTTAAAATTTGACAATAATCTACATTCCAAACAGCTTGGTCATCCCATACTTTACTAGCCAGTACTATAGCGCATAAAACTATTCTTTTCCAAGAACTTGGTGTCAATTCTGTCTCAGCACTAGTCAAAAGACGTTCCAAGTAAACCTATATAATAAATGAGATTTAAAAAATTAAAATAGGCTTCACTGATTAGCATTATTTGTACATGGTGATCTTCAAAATTTAGCAAATATCTGTATCGAAAGCAATAACTAGGCTTCATGAAAAACGAACTACAAGCGTTAACATTCTCTAATATTGACGATAGGATGTATTACAAATTTAAGGAAACAAATAGAAACTTAAGTGTTTTACAAGTTCAGTAATCATTCATGGACGTGATTACAACATGTAGAGCCCGATCAGACTTAACTGTCATTTCTACGTTACTAACTAAATTGTTCGGTAAATTTCATTTTCAACTTTAGCCGGAGAGCAATTAAACTTCGAGTGTTAACTGTACGATAAGGGGACAGTAAATTATAACCGGTATCATTGGCGACATCACTTTGTCGAAAAGGAGAGGTAAAATAACCATAGATGCAAAAATAGTATACTCTATTCATCCACAGAGAGTGGTCACTAACGTAAAATAGCTATCACTTGAGCTTTGGATAAAACAGCAAAACGAATCCGTATTCTTCAAATTTCATAATGACATACTTTCATAGCGCATCAATTGTCGATATACTTCCAACAGCACATGAGTACATTTTGTTATTCTTCTATACCTTTTCATGTTTCCTAGATTTATATCTCTTTTGATTAACAAAAACTTCTCATCAATGTAATCTGCTCTTGCATGGATAAGTTGTTGTAACGATCCAACCTTACGAAATGTTATTCCTAGTCTTTTAAAATCTTATGATCCCGCGACATGCACGGTGTCCTTCTTAAACCCATATATAGAACATCAGCCTAGTTGTCCACATGAACTTAAATAGTCAACGCTATGAACCTACATGATTTACTCTTCAGACACCTAGAGAACAGATAACAAATCATGGTTTAACATACGTACAGCACTAAGTTTGAAAGTGGAACTATCAGTAGTTGAATTTAAAATGTTTCAACTGATGAGTTTTGTTGCCCCGATTAAGTACTTAATTATATGAAACTGTTTGAAATAATGTGAAATAGAGACGGAACGTTAAAGTCTTGAAGTCTACACATATGTATATTTACGTCAGCATATTCAATAAAAAATATTTTTCTTAATTACATTTTAAAAATCCGATATATGTATATATGCTTTTAATTCGCTAATCTTTTTTTTCTCTATTGCAATAAATGCACATATTTATTATTCATATAAATACAAAAATATTTTTTTACTAAGTAATCATTCAAACTGCTATATGACATACCATAGTAACAATTGCACATTCTGGAGAAAGCTGGGCCATTTGGAATAAATTACGAATGAACCGATATACTGTTTTCAAATCTGGATCACGTGTAGCATAATCGAAAGGAACTGGCTCATTCTATACAACAACAAAAAACAATTATTTTTAAATGAAATGAAACTAACATGAAATATTTCAAATAGTTAAGTTTTAATCAGCTAATATATATATATATATATATATATATATATATATATCATCTTATGAAATTGCATACAATGATGTAACCATTAAAATTGTAAGTGTACAAACTGAAAGGAATTATTTATAAGGATAAAGTTGAAAGTACTGATAAGTTTTTCAAAGTGAAATAAAATTAAACATTCTGTATGACAGGGTCTAGTCATCGAGACCTAACGACTCTAATCTCCAAACTAACTTCCAGATTTACAGTCTATGGAATCTGGAATATACTTACTGACATATAAATACACTTTGGTGGGATCATGTGTTCTGCGATAGGTGATTTAAATGCGAACTGTTACCAGAATTGTTGACCACAAGTATTGTTCATCAGGGTTACCCTTTGTCCCCTTTCATTTAATTCTGTTATTGATGTCCTCCTGGAAATTATATTTTCATCCTTTAACTTTCACAGATTAATTTCCAACAACGAAATTTCCTTGTCAATTTAGAGTAGTAGATTATGTAGTGTGGTTTGGGGAAGACCATGACAAAGTCCAGGCTTCTGAGCACAATAAGCAACAATGCAAGCGAACTTGAGACGTTTTTCTCTCCCTCTAAGTGAGAAATGTTGCTTCAGGACTGGTCTGAGTCAAAGCCTGAACTAATAATGGGGAGTGAATTAATTTGTTAACTACTTCACTCATCATGGAAGTCCTATAGACCGCGATGGATTGGTGTCTGATAAAATCTCAGCAAAGATTCAGAACGTTTTATTAGCTTTAGCAAACTTATATCACGTTTCTATCAGCTAGCCAAATGGTGAGTTAACTGTGTAGTATTCCGCTGTTTTACTAAATTGGTGTGACAAATACCCATTAACAAAAGAGGATATTTGTAGGATGCTAGAAGTGTGTCTTCCAAGCTTTGGTCGTGTAGTGGAGAATAATCGAGTGAGTAATGCTAATATATTCGCCGTAGGATATAAGATGGAAATTAGAAACCAGCGAATTAGGTTATGAGTCTTCACCAATTGAAGTGGTTGAGACACATATTACGTATGTATGACCGTCATCTGCCTTAATGGATGATGTTTGTATATGTAAGAGGAGGCTGGAAGAAAGTTGGAGTTGATCAAACCAAGACGTGGCACCAGTCCACAAAGTCAATGACAATTAAACTGATTCATGTTGATAAGTGCAGACAACCTGACTTGGTTGGTAACCGAGTGATTTTTGTGACCAATGTTTAGAGATTTTGGATGTTGTGGTTTAAAATTGGTTAGAATGACCCAGGTTCATCCACTCCTTATCTTTCCTGAGATCTCGAGTCCCAATATTCCTCCATACATATCTTTTCATTCTTTCTTATCGAACAACATTATCTATGTGTAATCTTTCATATTGGTATTTCTAATACATCATTAAAACTCCTTTGTGTAACTTGGACCAGGTTTCCCAGTCAATCAATCAGTCAGTCAGCTACAACGTAGGACTAAGCACATATGTGCATTGGTCGAAGTTGTCATACCTCATTAGCACAACAAGATGAACACCGGATTCATAGAAGTAGTTGTGGTAATTTACAAAAGAACTATTGTATGTAAGGATATGGTACAGAGGAGAAATTTTGGATTATGTAGTTTGAAATCGGTTAGAATGATCCAGGTTCATCCACTCTTTGTCCTCCATTGGATCCTAATTTTTCTAAATTATCTTAAAATTGTATTTTATTATTTCATGAATACCTATTTTCTCGAAACGTATACTCTATGCCTAGTCTTTCCTATCACAACTAATACTTACAATTTCTATTGCTCGGAGATTCATCTTGACAGTTTTACCTTGCCAAGTTAATGTGGTGTGACAATTTGAACCGAAGCACATATGCGTCAGATCCCATCTTGGATTTGACTCTCAGTAAGGTTAATTCTAATATACGGACTGTAATTGTTAAAGTCTTTATCTCGTAAAAAAAAGAGCTTAAATCGGTAAGTGTAAACTAATCTCTAACTTTTGACATTTAATGCATATATACCTTAAATGAGGTTTCTCGCCACAAAGAACACATGCTACATAAAAACATTTAGTTTAAAAACAGAATATTAAAATGTTTATGACCAAGACGATAACTAAAGAAGTGACACATGTAAAATGGACGTTTAATTCAAACAAAAACCACTACTTCATAAACGTATATCGAGTATGAATTCTTTTAAATTTAATTAGATACTTTTCATCACGAAATAAAGACAGTTAGGCTGATATAAAAGACAATATTGAATAAATGTTTTACACTTAGTTTTAAACAATTATAAAAATGTTTTGGAATCTCTCAGAATTATCTTTAAAGAATCGAATTTATTGTTGTTATTATTATTATTTTAAAGTGCCACCTTTAAGAACCAAGTAAGCCTTCGTCTCATTCATGGAGTCCCATATAGAATTGAACTTTTGCCCTGTTACAGTTCCATTATTTCCAGGATTGTTCTATGGCTATTAAATCGGCATGTTAGCATATTTCATCATCTTTTCCTAAAATATAAAGCTGTTATAAAGTTAAGTCTTCGTTCTTAGTACTTGTGTATACATGTCATCGTTGAAAAGTTATTATGTACCAATTGTTTGATCTACCTAGCCACATTACATTCGTCCTTGTATTGTTAGTGTCTCTTTGATCATTTTAGCCGATCAGTAACGAAATACAGCAGAATCGAACACATCAGGACTTATGGAAAATGTATTATCATTGACCCACTGAAGAGAAGTATGATGGTATGTATTTTACAACTTCTGTTAATTTTAAAATTGGATAAGTAAAACAATTCTCAAAAAGTGGAAAAAACAAATATTATTAATTTCTCATGCAGTGACTCAATAACAACTCTACTGATGACCAGGAATATGAAACTAGATTTGGAGAACGTGACGTTTATAAGTTTTGAATAACAATGAAGCAATTGGTCAGCGTACCCTACTTTACAGTGGTTTTTCAACTATGTCAAATTTCGACTGAGACTCAGAGCTACATGATTACAAGTAAAAAAAAAAACCTTTAGCTTAGTTTTTATCCAAATACGCGCATCTCGTAGTCAAGAGTACTGACCTGTACATGACTATTGGGTTACATTAATTAAATACTTTTAAATCAGAATAAAATAAATTTCTTTGCAAACTAAAGATAATGAAAAACCACCTGTATAGGATGTAAAGATTCATCGAATATTTCAATCATAGGATCACAAGCAATTTTATGATTTCTATGCTTAATCTGTAAATAAATTGCCTGAGCTAATGCGCGAACAGTGGATTTAGGATCTGGTCTAGTTACAGTTGAATCATGCAGCCATATAGTTGATGTAGAACTGGAACGATAAAGTACAGGAATGGTATTTTGACGAGTTCGTGGAACCTGTAATACACATAACGAAGAATATATATATATATATATATATATATATATATATATATATATATAGAGAGAGAGAGAGAGAGAGAGAAAATATTAAATATTTTGGAAATTATTAATTACACTGAAATTATAATGTTAATTTGAAGGAGAGAAGTTGTTGTTGTTGTTGTACGTAATATTGAGAATAGTTTAGTCTTTATATCGGCATGTCAGTGTATGAACTATTTTGAATAATTAAATTACTTACACGGACTGATAATGTAACAGTTTCAAAGCATCAAAGCTTGGAATGGCACTTTGATTGAGAAGTTATAAAATTGGTTGGAATGAGGAAATTGAATAAGTATCGTATAAAGATAAAAGACCCGATATATTTGGACCGAAACGAAGTCAATATGGTGAGCAGTTTGAGCTCAAACATACACAGTCACAAATTTGTCCAAATATATACCCAATTCGACAGTTCAATGTTCATCATCACTACTAACAAATATGAGCCTTGAAAACCAAGTATATATCTGTGAACTCTGCCATGAGCTACACTTTTTATGCAAGGGGTTAGTGATAATAACTAGGTGTTTAAGTTGACGTATGCTGAACAGATATCAGATAAGTAACTTCAAAGTTAATATTCGGACGTTTTAATCACTAACTTAGTAACTAATTTATACAAAACTCAGACTAGGATGATACAACTTGAAACCTTTCACCTTCCAAACCTATTCTTCAAGTAACTTAAATCGTTTAGATCAGAAAAAAATACACATAATATGACTTAGCAGTCACACCCATACAATATGGATAAACAGCAATACGCATCTGTGACGGACGTGTTCACCGTTCCTTATATTATACCTTACAGCCTACTAAATCTATAAGTGCCGTTACAGTCCCACAGTTTTTTGTTCTTATGCAGTATTATCGAGGAGCATTGCAAGAAAATACTTATTTATTCATAAACACAAGTTGATTTTGACAAAAATAAATATCAGAGATTGAAAACATGAGGCAATTGAAGCTAGACCGCTATGAAAAACCTGAAAGCACTGGATGACCGTTTCGTCCTAGTATGGGACTCCTCAGCAGTGCGCATCCACGATCCCGTACCCCGCGAGATTCGAACCCACGACCTATCACTCTCGCGCCAAGCGCTTAACCAACTGGACCACTGAACCGGCATCCAATGGTGTGAATGTGTAACTTCAACCAATCCACGAAGTTGCGCAACCGTACACTTTTGTCTTCAGGGAGCTGATATCTCACAACAGACCTGGTTGAACTCCACTGGTAACGGCTTCTCACTAGAACTCCAGGAGTATTTCTTGAAGTCAGTCACTAGTGAGCAAATGATTATTATCAAAAGAGGTTTGTGGAGATTTTAGAAATTTCACAGATTGAAATCATGAGTCAATTGAAGCTAGACCACCATGGAAAGCCTGGAAGCATTGGACGGCCTGGGTTCGAATCCCGCGGGGTAAGGGATCATGGATGCACACTGCTGAGGAGTCCCATACTAGGACGAAACGGCCGTTCAGTGCTCCCAGGTTTTCCATGGTGGTCTAGCTTTAACTGACTCATGATTTCAATCTGTGAAATTTCTAAAATCTCCACAAATATGAAAGTAAACGGTTATTTTCAAATTACAGTAAATTAGAAAAATACATATTCAATCATCAACTTACATTACGATCATATTTAGTTCGAATTTCACGAAGTTCTATGGAAATAAAACAGAATTAAACCAAAAGTAAAAACCATTTTCTATTAAATTTGAAAAATAATATGTAAACAATGATATTAACAAGTGGCATTACCATGTTTTAACTTGATTTCATATAAATTGAGCATTGAGTAGATTAATATCAATAAAAATAATCTAGTTGTAATATTCTACTGAGTAGAAAAATTAAGTTTTTGAATTGTTTGACATTTCGTAACTTAGTGTAGGCCACTTCTTCAGAGAATAAAAAACAAATTAAATTAACCCACGTCTCAATAGTACAAAGGAATAAACTAAGAATATTTGGTGCAAAAAATTAAGAAATCCCTAAAACTGAGCTTAGATACAACTTTGTTTACTTTTAACTGGACATTATACAACTAAACAAACGGAGTAGCAATGCGATCTCACGGGTCCCCGATTGTAGCCTACCTGTTTATGTCACATATAGAATCAAATATTTTCGCCAAAGACACTAAACCACGAATTTAGTTCACATATGTAGATGATACTTCTGTTACCATAAAAAGGACTCACCTAAAATATTCCGCTAAATTGATCAATACTCTCTCGTTGCACATTAAATTTATGTACGAGAATCAAAGGGAACACGGTGAGCTGCAATTTTTAGATTGTTCAGTTAAAAGAAATCTAAGTGCAGCTCTAAATCTAACCATTTACCGAAAATTAATACACTCAAATCGTTATATCGACTTTAATTCAGAACACCATTCAATGCAAAAATCTCTCTAGCCCTAAACCTCTTTAGAAAAGTAAACAAGATTACTATATCTGAAGAGTATAAACAAAAAGAACGAAAGGATATGATTAACAGCTTACGACTCAATAATTTTGCTATGAAGATTATTAAAAGTGCGATATAACGAGACGTCTTACTGTTAAATAATAATCCGAATGAAATATCATGGATTGGTACTGTAGTTTTACCATACCACCATAGTAAAACAGAACTCGAGTCTTAAAACAACACAATTAAAGTATATTACAAAACAATGAACACCCTTCGAAATGCTTTGGTTCGCATAAAGGAAAGAATCCCCTTTATGTCAACACAAAATTATATCTACAAATTAGGATGTGTCGGTTGTGGTGCCTTCTATATTGGAGAGTCATCTCGTAAAATCTTGACTCGAACCAAAAAACACCTTAGGTAAACAAAGAAACCGTAGAACTGGAAAGAAACAAATTAAATAGGCAATGGAAGTCCATACCATTTTCAACAACCATCAAGTCGCTATTAAAAACACCAAAATAATACAAAGAATGCTTTTCCAACTGCAAAGAAGAGCGAGTAGCAGAAGGTTTCCATATGTTGCTTAATTTTACTGTCCTCAATAGAAAAGGAGACCTCACTACCCTCCGACTTCGACCATCTCTTCGAGCTACCATGTCTGATTTTATTCACACCTCACACCATTATCGTACATACAAGTTCAACTCTCCTTTCACATCACAAATGTCACATTTTTCATCCTTTAACATACATACACAAAAATATGTAAATATGCCTCACATAAACCATCTTGACCGGAATAACATGACATTGACTTGATCAGACATGCTTTGATTGATTGCACCAAATATTCTTACTTTGTTCCTTTGTACTACTTAAACTTAGGTTAAATCAATTTGTTTATATATTCTCTAAAGAAGTGGCTTGATGATATTAACAATTTACGGAAAATTACAATTACAGATTCCAAGCATGAAGTGAACAAAAACTAAACACTTTCGATTAAATGATTGAAAAGAGTAACATTTTTAAAGTGCGTTGTATACTTGATTAAATTGGTAATAATGTCCACCTTCACAAACCAATAACTCTGATTTGAATAACTAACCCAACACAGAGTAACACCTTTTTTGAAAGAGGTTACAGAGAAAAGGTGTAGTGCTCCGTAAATATATCAATCTAGTATTTGTGCTATTAAAAAATAATTGAATAGGTAGGTACTTATTTCTAAAACGATCTTTTCATAACACAAAGATGACTAAACTAGTTTGTGATCCACGCTTGTATTCATCCTCTACTACAGGAAGTGTTGCACAGTCGATGCTTCGTAAAGTCTGTATATTTTTATGAGCGCAGATGACTTTAATGATATTTTTCTGAAGTCCAACAGTCAGTCAGTCAGTCAGCTACAACGTAGGACCAGGCACATATGTGCATCGGTCCAGGTTGCCATACCTCATTAGCACAGCAAGATGAACAGCGGATTCATAGGAGTGGTTAGGTCAAAGGTTGCAATAAGGATATAGTATAGGAAGAAAGAATTAGTTCGTAGACAGAAAGAATGAAGTTATTTTAGTCTCTTAGTTTAAGGGAAGACAGGGAGTGTATACACCGACGCCATTGTAATCGATTCTGAGCCATGTCACCAAGAGTCTCCAACCATTGGTTACGAAAGTCACGCGGACCCCAACCAAGTAGTCTGCATCTACCAACATGGCTCAGACTAGAAGTTAGTGACTTCAGGCACTGATGCCACGTTTTGGTTTGGCCGCCCCTAACTTTCTTCCAACCATCCCCAACACCGGTCAGCATGGCGCGTCGTGGTATTCGGTGTTCAGGCATACGTAACACGTATCCCAACCATCTCAGTCGATGAAGATTCACAACCTCATCAACTGATTTACCATCATTCCCTAATACCCTGCGTCGGACCTCACTATTACTTACCTGGTGATCCCAACAGATGCGAGCAATATTTCAACGGCATCTGTGGTCAAATACTAGTAGCTTACGAGTGTCTTCTACTCTTAATGGCCATGTTTCGCTGCCGTAAATTAAAACAGAACGGACTGCCGCGCAGTATACTCGTCCTTTTATTGATAGACGGATATCTCGCTTTCGCCATAGGTGACGTAAGTTGGCAAAAGCCAAACGAGCTCTTCGAATCTGTGCTGAGATTTCGTCAGACACCAACCCATTAGGGCTGATTAGACTTCCAAGATAAGTGAAGTTGTCAACGCGTTCGACTAATTCACTCCCTATCCTTAGTTCAGGTGTTGGCGCAGACCAGTCCTGAAGCAGCAGCTTGCATTTAAAGGGAGGAAAGCGCATTCCAAACATTCTGGGATTGTTGCTTAGTGCTACCAAAAGACTCTGCATTTTGTCAGCGTCTTCACCAAACAGGACAATATCATCTGCGTATTCTAAGTCGATAAGTGGACCTCCTGGAAGGAGATCAATACCCGAGAATTCAGTCGACGAGAGTGTTATTTCCATCAATAGGTCTATGATGAAGTTAAACAGAAATGGAGAAAGTGGACAGCCTTGACGGACACCACTCGAAGTTGCAAAAGTAGATGACAGTTCGCCATAAGCCCTGACTCAACTAGTAGTGTTCGAGTAAAGAGCCTTCACAAGGTTTATGTACTTCTGAGGTACGCCTTTCAATGACAGACACTGCCACAGAGTCTCGCGGTCTACCGAGTCTTTTCCGTTCTCTGTAGACTAGGTTGTTTAAATTATAATGGATTCCGAGGTTCATTTGTTTCAATGATAAATATATTACACTAAAATAGGTCGATTTTCAATGTCGATTCGGGTTTTAGTCAAGTTATCATCAGTACGATAGAAATGGATTAATTTCTTGATACGCTGTGTTTATTGGAGAAAAACTTTTTTTATAAAAAAGCGGTAAATTATATAAAAAGTTACTAAGTAATTAATTACTTTATCCATAATTACATGCAATCAGTCGTGAAATTAAATCCCAATATACCAAAGCTTGTAACAAAAAGTTAATATCAAACTAATCACTCAAGTTGTTTTAAAAAATGACCGATCAAATTTCAGTTTTAAATATCAAATCTGGAGTGGAACAAGCTCCTACGAATGGAGAAACAATGAAATAAAGGAATAGAAAGTATGCGATGAAATTAAGGTCTAGGAAAATTAAAAAGTCAATGCATCTGCCCTAATAGAAAATATTTGGATTCATCTTAACTACAGCCTCCAACCCCATCTATGACGACAGCTCACACCAATATCCAATGATCTCATTAAGTGGATTGATTTACTCATAACTAATTCCTTATCGAATTGTATAGTTTCTGTTCAAATAGCTAAGTAGTTGTTTACTGAAAGATATTAATATTTGATCGATTTAGTGGCACATTTACTTAAACATCATGTACCAAGTAACCGAAACAGATGCGGGTTTTACTATAGAGTATATGTGTATGTTACTTACTATTCAATAAGTTAACCTTGAATTGAGCATTAAACATTTAGTACAAATCAATTATTTTTTGGTTACTGAAATGGAATATATCACCGACAAATAACCGAATCTCATTATACTGAGAATATAATTAGGTTGTTATGCTAAGGTTACAACGAATACACGCAATGTACTACTTGGTAAATAACCTATGGAGGGAAACGAATCCATTGGCATTACATTTACTGCCAAGTAGTGCCTAGAATTGGTGGGGAATATTTGTAGCTCAGATGGATGATTTTGGTAGAGTGCCTAGAGCCTGAGGAGGAACGTGAACTACATTGTGAGCAGTCTAAACCAATAAACAGTTACTGCAAATTGCTGTTAACTTAACCCTGCTGTAACTTACTTCATATAGGTATTTCACTGAATAAAAAGTAAAAACTGGAAGAATTATAAATCAGACATTCAATACGGTTTCTACTATTCCAATTACTCTTAAGTAGCGATATCTCTAGTCAATCAAGATAGACAAATAAAAATGACAAATTATTGACAGATAGATGTGAAATGGGTATAATCAAGTGCACGAGACAATTGCTTTGAATAATCTAACTCTGTGACGATGAACAGTGTTGCACCGTAGATTATGAAATATAGCATTTGTGATAGAGACAATGATCATGAAACTGACTGATTCCATAAAGGTAGGTGAGGCAATATTTCGGCTTCTGATCTTTAGTCTTAAAATTCAATGCATGAATCTCTGAATTGCGACGCTATACAGAATGTGCATTTTATATAATAATTCTACTTGGATGATAAAATAGGCAAGAGGTGAACGAAATGCACATGACTGACACATAATTATTCTAGCGACCTTACTCAAATGACATGAGAAGAAATAAATTCCCATGCATGAAATCCGTCCATTTCTAGTAATTTATAACACCATGCAAATACGCTCCATCAACAAACTATTCCATCAGGGAATGTCCTTATAACAGATTTACTCGATAAAGCGTTTCATACATACATACAAAGAGCGTAAATATATCAAACCTGAAACTAATCATGTAAGTATTTCGCAATACGGGCTACGATATATATTTAATAATAAGATGTTACATTTTTTAAATGGAGATTTTGTGTATGGAAGAAAGAACTTGGTAAAATCAGTTCTTCTGTTTTGTTTTTACAAATCTAAAAAGATTATGAATAATTACGATGTTAAGGCTTTTTCAATCAATTAGTTAATACAGAACAAAATTTCGATAAAAATAATACATTGTGCTAAATGATAATACAACAAGAATACAGAAAATCAATAAACAGCATGAGTGATCACTACAGTCTTTTTTTAAATAAATGAAAAACTTTTAAGCTTGGAGTTTAACATTGTTTCTTTATCAATTTCTTTACTCATATAATTAATATACACCTGAAACTTTGTAAACATTACTTTGAAATATACATGTTATGTGAAGGCTAAAGATGTTTTAAACATAAGTAGGTGGGAGCTGAAATCAAAACCTTAATCTAAAAGTTTAATCCAATTGAGTTACGGTACCACGTTGGTCTGCTTAATAATTCTAGGTCTAATGCTCACCCCTTTTCCTTTCGGATATCCATTATTATTACCCCCCATGTATATGAACAATCACAATGCAAACGCGTAGCTCATTTAAGTTTCACTTATTTTCATTCTTTTAATTGTTATGGATTAATTGGCATACTTTTTTTCATGTATTGATTAGTTCTTGTTAAGTTTTTATGACTCAATGGCTTTTGAAGAAATAACTTGACATATGTTGTTCGTTCACAAGTGGATGCTTTAAAGTGACCAATACTGAGTCCACACAGAAAAATGCATCATTGACGTTTTGAAACAATATACACTAAAGAGGCTAAGTAACCAATGACTATAAACCATTATTAAGTCTTGTGAACCTTTTCAGGAAAAGGACTCATCAAAGTCTGTCACAATCATCCAAATATGGGTCACATTTGAATAAATAGGAGAAAACGAGAGTGATAGGATAAAATGAAATGATGTTTATTAACCAGTACACCAACTGAAATTAGACATTAGAGAAAGATATCTTACTTTTCATTGATAAAGACAAAATTATACTAGTGATAAAATTTATCAGTATCAATCAAACGTGTGGAATGTTTACAACAAACTAAGTAAAAAAACATACTTCTTTCAATGTCTTTACTTGAACGTTGCATAAATAATGTTCTTTTAGTTGGATTTAAAGATGGATCAGCCTCAGTATCTAAAAAATGGATTAGGACAAGAACACTGTGAGTAAGCTGTTAAATATATAACACGGTGTAGCACAATCTTGTGAATATTCACGACTCAACAAGTACAAAATTTATTTCTAAATAAACAGCAATAAATTAAGCATAAATAAAAAACGCTTAAATAAGTATTAAATGTTCGGAAATAGTCAATAGGAGGCCATGAACTTATGTTTCATAACTAAAGGGACACTATAATTTTGAGTATAAAACGTCCATTAGGTTGGTATTACTGTTGCTTGGGGCTGGAACCATGTCATTCATTGCTATAGTCGGAAAAATTTTAAGTACTAGATCCCATCATTGGATAGGTCAGTCAGTCGTAAACAGCGTAGAATGTGGGACAAGTGTGTACTGGGTCAAGATCGTAACCAATGGTTGGAGACTCTGGGTGACATGACTCAAAATCAATAACAATGGAGTAGGTGTATATACTCTATGTCTTCCCTTTAAGAGATTAAAATCACTGTACTATGTTCTTACTTACAATAGTTCTTTTATAAATTACCACAACTACTTCTATGAATCCGGTGTTCATCTTGTTGTGCTAATGAGGTATGACAACTTCGACCAATGCACATATGTGCTTAGTCCTACGTTGTAGCTGACTGACTGATTGACTGACTGATTGATTGACTGGGAAACCTGGTCCAAGTTACACAAAGGAGTTTTAGTGATGTATTAGAAATACCAATATGAAAGATTACACATAGATAATGTTGTTCGATAAGAAAGAATGAAAAGATATGTATGGAGGAATATTGGGACTCGAGATCTCAGGAAAGATAAGGAGTGGATGAACCTGGGTCATTCTAACCAATTTTAAACCACAACATCCAAAATCTCTAAACATTGGTCACAAAAATCACTCGGTTACCAACCAAGTCAGGTTGTCTGCACTTATCAACATGAATCAGTTTAATTGTCATTGACTTTGTGGACTGGTGCCACGTCTTGGTTTGATCAACTCCAACTTTCTTCCAGCCTCCTCTTACATATACAAACATCATCCATTAAGGCAGATGACGGTCATACATACGTAATATGTGTCTCAACCACTTCAATTGGTGAAGACTCATAACCTAATTCACTGCTTTCGGATCTTCGCCTAGTATCCTGATTTGGTCTAGGCATCCGGGCAGTATCAAAGCCCACACACAAATGAAATGAAATGAAATGACTTCGCCGAGTGCTCTATGGCTGAACTCGGCATTACTCACTCGATTATTTCAAAATACATGGCCAACGCTTGGGAGATACTTATAATCTTTTGTTGCACGCTTACACATCAATACTCCGAAATAACCACAGGTCTGCGGTGAATGGCTCCTTAAGAAATCCACCGAGCAGTATTCCAGCCCTTACACAAATCGAATGATTTGTGTGGCGCATATATATTTGGTGTCTCGTTGTATCAATGTTAATGTGTTGAAATGAAAAAATACTTGTAATTAATAAAACAGTCAGGCCATAATTGATTGAAGAACAAGCGACCTACAAGCTAGTTTCCTTCAATCATCTATGACTGTCAACCATATTTATTTTGTGTTCATATTCGGTATCTAAACGAGTTACTTCATTACGTGAGAAATGAGTTTCTCTGGGTTAGTGATCTTGTCTTTGATTTTAAATCATTTGCAGCCTTAAGTCAATAACACTATTTCATGAGCAGCCATCACTCCGTTATATTTCACAGCATTGAGTTTATTTATTGAATAGCGTTCTATTCAATGATTTTAGCAATAGGAATTTCGATCATCAAAATCCTTTGGCCATAACAACTTATCGCTTTTTCAGACAATCAATCAGTGATATAAAATCAACTTATGACATAGACGAGTGTTTATTGAAGTTTGAGTAAAAACGAATACGTAACGTGAATGATATTAAAAAGCATATCAGATTATTGCTTTAACACATAAAAATGCAAACTACCAGCTTACACACATAATAAAAATAATTCGTAATTAATATTTAGAGCATAAAGCGTTATAATCAAACAGCTGTAGTGTCTAGCATTATGTCAGGCCCACATGGGTTGCTTTAGCTTCCGGACAGGCCGATTTATTTGTCACTCTAAAGTCACACTTTAACCTTGTCGGTTATTCGCTTACGACCTTGACTGATTTTATATGAGCGTGTGTGTACCGCTCACAACATTCCTCACATGTCTTTAGCTTATTTTCGTCTGGTTAGAAATATTGATTTCCGCTTTATCAAATGGAGTTGGCGCGCTTGTCTTTCCGATCTGCTTCTCCATTCCGTTTCTCTGATTGCCTGTGTGGGACGAGTGTATGAAATATACATATCCAAAATTCATGCTCATATTTGGTTTATTTGATTCCGCTATTCACTAACGCGAGTTAAGTTGATAATTATATACGAGGGTATCCGGGATGTATATTTCACTAACATCACTGTTTGACCAAATTGGAGTCAAATAGGTGGGCCACGAAACATCAACTAACAAATAGCTTGTTGAAGGTTCAAATTAACTTGGTACTTTAATTATGAAAACTTATCATCGACCGAAAGACTTACCATCTGGTTCTCTCTCTGAGATATGCTGCAAGTTTGAAGTGCTTGATTGTGTGTACACTGAGGAAAGCATGAAGTCTGAAGGTTCGACGCTCATACCAAAGTCCCCTTGTGTTCGATAAGAAAAGTCTCTCACCCCTTGCATATCTCCCAGAGAAGCTGGACCATTGTGCCCTGCTCTAGAAATGCGACTATCTGAACGATGATAAGGATAAGAATTATTTAAATGTGAAGGATCATTTGATAAAGAACGATAACCAGATAAACCATCCTTGGCACATTCTGAGTGGCAACCTGATTGTGATTTTCCTACATGGCCAACATGATTAGGAACGGCAGATCCATAATTGATGACATTTGTTTCACCCATCGGTTTGTCATGAGACTTCCAAGCACAACAAGCACAAAAGTTTCCCATTTTTAGTTTGTATTTTGAGCTAAACACATAGAAGTCGAAGGTACTACTAACTCATTGTTCGAACAAAAGACAGGCTGAAATTTTTCAAAAAAACATGACTTTATTTATATTTCTGTATTATAAACACATTAAATTCAGCATAATACTGTCTTAGACCTAAAAGTAAGTCAGTGTACTAGTAAACATTATTTCTTATTCGTCAACGGATACTTGTTTATTGGATTGGACCAACTTTAAACAAAGCATACATAGTTGAACTTAACTAATTAACAGTTAGTTGTTCAGGTTGTTGTTGCCTTATACTATAATTCACAACAATCAGGATGAAAAGATTTTGGATGTGATTTAAATAGAGAAAATGTACGTTTTTACAATGTCATTTTGCAGAGTACATAATTTCGTACCTTATACAGTATCCTTAATCCAAAACATGGTTAGTAAAGAAATATGTTTATGCTAATGACAATGGAAGAAATAGCGACTGAAGTAGTAAATTATTGTAACAACTTTGACAAACAAAACATTTCACGAATAAATTATCCAAGGATTGAAAGTCTACAACGACTATGACTTGATGGAGTATAGAGTCGTGCATGAAATGGGTCAGTGAAAATTGTGGCCTTTTAGTGATTGTAGTGACTGAAGGATGTACTTAATATCATGATCCATACCCTGACAGAATGTGGATTGCTGCCTATAGTACTACTGGATCTGGAAAATGCTGTGGAGAGACTTCATAACTTCATTGATTTATGCAGTTACCGACTGTAAGTTTAAGCCATTTTAGCAATGCGGACGCAATTACTAAAGATATCCTAGGTATCATGGCTCAACATTTATAAATGGTGTGTGTGGTTTTATTCCTTAACTCGTTTCGTATCTTAAAAATCTAATTCTTCAACATTTGCTCACTTCATGTAGACCAAGAACCTTCATGACTCTATTATAATCACTTGTTAATTTCTTCTTTATGCGGCATCATGAAATTTAAGGATAAAAACATAATACAAGAAAATTTGTGTCAGTGCGGCTAATATTTTGAATCAATGCTTAATACATGATCCACCCCGAGTTTCATCTAATTGATACATATAGCACAGCTCTGATTCACATCACTTGATGGAGGTCATGAAGCACCAAACGATTTACCGACATACTCTTGAATATGGTGGTCTTGGATGCAGTCAGAAGTATGAGGGCAGTTATCACTTCCCGGTTGCCCACACCGTGGAAGGGTTCTTCTAGAGGTACCCAAAAATGAAATCGGGTTAGGGTTGGTCTTAGTGACCTGATAGCGTGACCGCAGTGCCCGAGAGACAAGCGCTAGAGATCGGTCACACACGACCATTTTGTGGGTAATTTTTGTGTTAGCTCCATACATGTTGAGAACTTACTTCCGGAGACGGATATATGTAAGATAAAGTGAGATGTGCATTTTTAGGGTCGACCTTTTCTAATCCCATCCTCCCTTTGTGGGAGTGCAGCATCGCTATTATGCTGGTTGTCTAAAGGAAACACCATACTGCTAGTACAGTTAGCAGTACAACTTCGCCCTCGGACCTTGGTTTTGCCGCCTTTAGTCCTACCGCTCTTTAACCAACATGTCTAGCATGGTAGGACCCTGAGGAACGACTGTTTCAGCCAATATAGCCCGATTGGTTTATCACAATAGGGAAACCTGGCCGCCACGTCAAGGTAGCAGCAACGGTTGGGGAATTCAAAGCCGCTAACAGAGCAGTCTTCTCCAATTTTGGTCTTACGCAGTTCCCCTCTATCTTCATACACTAATCAAAATAACTGAAATAGATGATTACTTCTTATCCACAAAATATTCCGATTAGTTTATTTTATCTGGGATAGTCAGTTAGCTGGTCATATCCAACTAAGAATCCGGGGTGAGGATAACTATTTCGGTTTACCAGTGTTATCATCGCAGAGAAAATCACGGAGATGTAACGAGCAAAAGACAAGATATAAAGTGCAATGAATCTAAGCATGGAGAATACAATTTACAAGCCACAAACGAAAATTAAGAATCGAAAACATGAAATGACACCAAACTAAAGATTAACTATAAATGCAACTGTTCAGTGGGATTGTGTTATCCGGCGGCTTGGAACATTTGCAGTTTAGACCAGTGGTATTTCAAGCTTCAAACTGTTGCATAGACCAGGAGACAGAATAGGGACTTGAAAAAAAGGTTTAATATTGAGAAACAAGTAGAAAATGTTTTTAAAAGGACCAATTAAGCTAGAACACAACAGAAGACGGAATTAAGAGGAAAATCAGCCGCCAACCGACACTTATTTGCTGAACGTTGCATGCAAAGCATTACAAGTTCAGTAAAGAGTACAACCATAAGGACATATGTATCTTTAAATCTAACACGTAGATAAGTTTATAGTGACCTAAAAATGTGGTGCACTTTGGGAATAAAGTGCTAAGCCTGCCACCTCACACACCTCGTAACTCAGCAGTAAAGCCTTCACCTCTAGTAATTATACAAACCACATGCTTCAGCCGTTGTGTCGATAACCTTTTAATTATGACCACCGTTTAGTATCTACACAAAATGGCACATATTAAAATATTTGCGTACTAGGAATTCGGATTTAAAATGAGCGAGCTTAACAACTAAAAATTCCCTTCCATTAAATACATAATTCAGGTTACAAGTTACCCATGAGCCCGAAGACCTTGAGATTCATAGTAGCCAGATTTCGGCGCCAGAAACATAACCCTCAGTCTTCAGTCTTCAGCAATAAGGATAGGAGGTCTGTCGACCTATATTAATCCTTTCACTTTGCAATACTGTGGGGGTCCAATCTCGTTTTGAATATATTAACAGACGGTGCTGATATTACGTGTTCCGGTAGGGAATTCCAGTAATTCACTACTCGGTGCGAGAAACGGAACTCCAGACGTAAACGGTTTGATCTCGGTTTTTGAACTTTCTTCGAATGTCCTCCCAAATGATCGGTTCTAGACGGAAGCAAAAGATAAGACATGTTAATACCAAGGTCATCGTTCAGTAAACGATAAGCCAATATTAGATCACCCCGTACTCTACGGTAAGATAACGGAAATAAGTTAAGGTGTCTCAGTCTGTCTTCATAAGATAGGCCAGTTAGACCTTGTACCATCTTAGTAGCTCGTCGTTGGACTCTTTCTAGCATATCTGCTTCATATTTGAAACAAGGACTCGCTGCTTGAATCCCGTATTCTAAATGTGGTCGCACATAAATCGGGTATAGTAATCCAAACATTTCATCATCTAAATACTGAAAAGACCTACGAATTGACCATAATACCCTATAGCCTTTTGCAGCAGCAGCCTTACATTGACTAGTCGTTTTGAGATCATTGCTTAATATAACTCCTAAATCTTTATAGTTTCTTGCTTTGGGTAGCACGAATCCACGTGGTGTATAGTGATACGATTCATCAGAGTTATTTAACTGCATCCCTACACTCTTATTAGGATTTACTTCTAGTGACCACCTGTCCAACCATGCCACCAATGAGCTAAGATCATCCTGTAATACTATTTTGTCCGACATACTATGTATGGGTCTCCAAATCTTTGTGTCATCAGCGAAGAGTAGGACGGATGATTTTGCTACAGTTGGCAATTCATTTACATAAAGTAAAAAGAGAAGAGGACCCAGGATTGTGCCTTGGGGAACCCCACTTTTTACAGGTACCCACGAGGAGAGAACCCCATTAACCCTTACCCTTTGTCTCCTGTCATGGAGAAAGTTACTTATCCAATCGACGACTGTGTTATGGATTCCCAAACGTTCCAGTTTGAATTAAAGACCAGAGTGGGAAACCTTATCGAAGGCCTTACTTAGATCTATGAAAATTACACCCACAGGAGCATTCCGATCCTTTGCCGCAACCCACTCTTCTCGTGCAATGAGAAGATTTGTCAAGCAAGATAGGCCTTTCCGAAAACCATGTTGTGCCCTGGAGAAAAGATTTTGTCCTTCAACATAGTTTATAACAGCTATCCGAATGATTTTCTCCATCAGTTTCACAACTGCACTAGTTAAGCTAACGGGTCTATAGTTACTAACTAAATCCCTACTCCCAGCCTTATACCCCGGACTTATTATGGCGTCTTTCCAGTCTCTAGGAAGTCTGGACTGTCTCAGAGACATGTCGAATAGTATCGCTAATGGTTCAGCAATTTCATCTGATATGGCTTTCATAATCCTAGGATGAATATCATCGGGACCACTGGACTTATCAGGTTTGAGATGCTGAAGTAGCCTTAAAACAGTATCTTTCTCAATGACTACAGGATCCATTAGCGAGCCGTCACGGTCACGATGAATCATTGGTCGTTCCTCATTACCGATAGAAAACACTTTACTAAAATATTCCGATAAAGCTTCAGCTTTTTCGACATCATTCTCTGCTAAGATTAACGGATTGTCTCGTATCAAAAGTGATGGAATTCCATCGCATCTCTTAGTTCGCCTTTTTATATACGAGAATAACCGTTTCGGACTATATCTAGAATCCCTAACCAATTGTTTTTCGTATGAATGTCTAGTCTTGCTTATTAACGCTTTACAGGCATTCCTAATCTTACAATAACTGGATCTGTATTGTTCTAAGCCAGTAGAGATGAACATATTCCAGTGATTCTTCCTTTTTCTAAGGAGTTATCCATGGTGGACTATTATTCGGTCTTCGCGGTACCAGGTATGGTATGAACGGGGACGTAACTAGTCTAAATTTACCTTTAAATACAGACCATCCTTCTTCAACTGATATGCTAGTATCTACTAACCAATCTGTCTTAGCAGCGCATTCCTGAATGGCTGATATGTTAGCTTTCCACACATTTGGACGCGGTGTAACCTGATCGTATAACATGTCCCTAGTTCTAAACGCGAATGACAAAACAGCGTGATCGCTGTTTATATCCTCAGTCTCATGAGTGATTACCAAATCAGGCAGAGAAGAACCCTGGTTAACACCAAAACGTGTGGGTTCGGATACATGGTGCACTAGTGCATGCTCCATTATCAGTAACCTACTATCAAAGGAGTTTATAGATCCTGTAGTGGCATTGGACAATAGCCACACAATCCACAAAGCTGTGAACACGAGACTACTCAGGAAATAGATATTCAATATTTAACTCGGGGAAATACCTAACAATGGAGAAGGCGCGAACAATGAATTGAATGGACTGGAGTTGATCGAGTGGTATGGCTCGGCCATGCAGGCGTGGTCTCTATTCATATTAAATATATTGTTCTTTCTCTAACCTAACCTTCTTATATATCATGTATTGGTAATTGATCCGATACAGTGAGTTGGTGTAGTCGATGGTGTGACTTCCACGTAAGATCTTATAGATTAGGCAGTTATATCAATGGCAAATCGACAAGTTTGGGATTAGGTCTATTATTAGAGCAGTACTAATATCATAGTAGATCATAATTCTACATTGGTGAGCCCAACTAAAGAAACGCAACCTATTATTATTAATCCTTATTTCCACTTCAACTTTCTCGATCGATTTTATATTTATGTTAACACTGTATTCTAATAGTCCTCTGATTAATGCTCACATGCATCATTGTAATGTTATATTGATTAGTCCTCATGACAAACTAGCTCAATCGATAATAAAAACTGGTCGTCTATATTAACTAATTAGCTTTGATGGTTTGTTAACAAGCTGTAATAGCATTTACATGCTTCAGCAACATAGTCTTGTTTAAACATCAAGCTCTAGCAAATATGACCTGTAAATAGCGTAAATATACATTGACTAACAATGCAATCAAGGACTAAATAGTTATCTGGATCTAATTCTCACTGTTCCTTTACTTAACACCTCATCCTGTTTTAAACTACGCACTATCCTGTAATATCTTTTCTTCCGACCACTGCCTGCCTAATTTCATATTCTCGAGTTCCATTGCCAAACAACGAGGATGACTACTCCAAAAACATACGGTGAGTTTCAGCTATAAGTTTTCTGCAATCATTTTTAGATGGTTCGTTCAATGACAACCATACAATTATCTGGATTCATTCGATTGTTCTGATCCGAGCGAGTGTCAAAAACCTCAACAGCATCAAGCACCCTGGAATTAATTGCCATACTGCATGTTTTATTCTGGATGCTTTTGGATCATTACTACTCCTCACGAATGGCGTTATATATGTCGTCCACTGAATAATCTAATTTTCAAAAATAATCAAGATGGTTCGTTCAATGACAACCATACAATTATCTGGATTCATTCGATTGTTCTGATCCGAGCGAGTGTCAAAAAACCTCAACAGCATCAAGCACCCTGGAATTAATTGCCAAACTGCATGTTTTATTCTGGATGCTTTTGGATCAATACTACTCACGAATAGCGTTATATATGTCGTCCACTGAATAATCTAATTTTCAAAAATAATCCAGGCGAGTTCAACTATTTTACTTAATGATTATTTTTACTTAACATGTATATGTTTTCCGGTTCCTTTTGCCATATATTTGTAAGTGTCCCTAGGCTAAATGCAGTAACTCCTTATGGAATGTTTATCACGCATCATATTCCTGCCTGAAGTTTCACAAGCAGTCTAAACTTTAAAACTATTTTCTGGTCATGTTCATTATTTTTAAATCGTCATATACGTCAACAACCTGCATGTTAACCTGGCCCATACATACGTTACACTATATCTCCATGTCTTCTAAATTTAGAAATCATCTGAATCGCCTTTAACATTTATCAATAAACCCATCATAGTCGTTGTTGCTAATCGTATTTGGGTTTATGGATTAGTTTATCATATTAGCAGCCTAAAATGCGAACATAGTTTAGATAATAAGATTAAAAATTTAGGTACTATCAACTGCACTAGTGAAATAACTAAATCCCCAAGTAGCTGTTGGCTAAACAAACGTTTAAAATCAAAACTCCGTAGCCTACTAGAATGAACACTAAACGAATGCTTCTGAATTGAAATTTATAATTAAATTAGGCGTCTCGGATTCTTTAACGTTATAAATATCTGATGATTTTGAATCACCTAAAGCAACAATACCTATTTTTCCACTGACTAATCCTTAATCAACACTATAACTAGTTAAATTTAATAGTTTCAGGATATCGTCATAAAGCATTGTCATAACTTGACAATCACGTAATATGACTGATAAAATTAATGAAACTATTAACGAAATCGGTCAACAAATTGACTTATAATTACCATTAAATGGTGTTGTTTTCTTGGTATCTTCACCCATCACAGATGATTACAGTATGTTTCTCTATCAGTTGCTCATTCAATAAATATCTCAAAACCTTGTCAGTCTAATTGATGGTTTAACGACACAATCATGCATGCAAATAATCAGTATAAGCAGTCGAGCAAATCTCCTGCAAACTGAAAACATCAATGTCGAATTTACCCCAACACTGACTAAGGTTCAAGCCATTATCATAGACATGAGTTGGGAGTGTACTCCCCCTGGTTACAACTTATGTTCTCCCTGTTAATCACATGAGCATCACTCACTGTTAATCATCTTGTAAAAGCTTATTTAGCCGAATACATCCTGCGGCACCACATCACTTCGTAATATGACACAGGCCTAACTGATTTTAATAACCTATAACCACTATATCTCAATTTAATCTTATTCCGCCTTATGATAAACTGCATACTTGCAACTAACTTGTATGTCCAATCACTCGGCAAGTATAAATACAAGTAAATAGTCTGC